CTAAGCTGGGAGGTGGGAACTTTCCCTTATCCTTCTACAAGCAAAGAGGATAAGGTGCCAAACCAGATGGTAAGAAAGCTCTGGGTTCATAGAGGACTTGTGTTCAAGGGCGGTGAATGTTGGAATTATTCAACAAATGATGAACAACAGCAAAAAGAATGAAATCCCATCATATTCTGAACACGGGTGTAACTGGAGATCATTGAGTTAGGTGATTTAACACTGGCACACAAAGACGAGTATTTCATAATCCCACTCACACATAGAATAGCTTTAAAAACAGATTAATGGTTACTGAGGCCAGACAGAATACAAGGAAAGCAGAATGCTCAAGGTAACAAGATGAATAATATATTAAAATTTATCTGGGGCTGGAGAGATGCTTCAGCAGTTAAGGGCCCTGGCTGCTCCTCTGGAGGACCCAGGTTCTGCCTGATAAAGATTGCTTAATGGAAAGTGAAAGAGATGAGGAGAACCCACCTCCAATGCCCCAGAACACCCAGCAACTATGCTGAAACATTGTTAAAATCACTGTTAATGCTAATGGTAGATTACTTTGTATGCATTTCCTGTTCATAAGCAGGTGTTAGGTGATGGTCAATTTGACTCACTAATTGGCAGCTACTGGACTCTCCCTGGCTGTCTTGAATAAAGACTATCAAACATCCAGCAAGGACCACCCTGATGACAGTGCTGGCTATTGTGAGCACTGTATGGATGCCCTGAGAAAATTACAAAGTAATCACAGTTAGCAGCTTCAGCTCTTGAAGGTAGAGCCTCAACTAGTGCTGTTTTGAATAGTTTGCAGCAGACTTTTTTGCTACCACAAGCCTCAGTGAACTTTAAATGAAATCATTTCCACCTCGGCCAAAATTTCCCTGTTGACCTAGCAGAAGGACTTTCTGTAGCTGGTGCTAATGGAATAATTTTGTGATGAGTTCAAAACCAAATCCTCATTTGCATGCAAGCTATGCTGTGATTAGTGCAAACACCACTTCTCTGGCCATATAAGCAGATTTTTCACTCACTCTGTGGGTCTGTGGGAAAACATGATTTTGTACTCCCTCACCTGATACTGCAACATTAGTACCAATAAACATTTTTCTAAGTGATATTTTCTTCCTCACATTAGTAGTGCAAGCTGAACTGGTAATGCAAAGAAGAAACAGAGTCTACAGTGTGCCACCAATGGTAGAAGCTATAGAAAAAGCAACAGTTCGTTGGCGGTCCAAGCAATGAAAATGGCAAGGTGGCAAGGTGCCTTGCTGCTTGATGTGTGAAAAAAAGGACAGAAGCAGTCAATGGGCCAAGATGCAAAGTCAGCAAAGTGGCAAACTGCTAGGTAGCTGAACAATTTGAGAAACTGATCAGGACAAAAGCTGGTGGAACAATGGAAGTGACCAACAAAGAACTCAAGAAAGATAGAAGACTGTGATACCCTATTTGTTGAAGAGTTCCAGATAGCTTCCATGCATTTGATACCAAGGCTTGCAGTCACTCCAGTCTGGGAACCAAAACAGGGGCCACTGTTAAGGTCTGGAGAATCCAATATCTACGTGTGCCTGAGATCCACAATACTAGCTGCTTCCATGGACTACAGAACCTCGGCTTCCTAGACCTACACTAGAGCAACAAGTGTAGAGCTGTGTCCCGCTGCTCAAGGTCTGCCTGAGAGCTTTAACCAGGGGACTCTGCCTGGGGCTCTCCCTCCTGCCCACCACTTGCTGCGCTTGAACAGAGGGCTACAGTAGCTTCCAAAGACAAGCACTTGAAGACCCTTGTCTCATCCACCCACAATTCCTATCTTGGTAGAGTAATGGCACCCCAGCCACCAAGAGACAGCAGATAGCCTGAGAACACTCACTAGTATGTGCCATGTTTATGAATCACTTAATTCGAAAGACCCTCTGGCTCTGCAGTAAGTAATGAAAAACCCAAACAAGTGCCAACATGTAGAATGGGCTTCTAGGATTTGTTTCCTCTGACTCTGGGCTTCACCATACATGTGATGACATCTTTGTAGGACACATGAAATAGAAGAGAGAGAAGCAGACAGACTCAAACAATTACTCCCATTCAAACAAGAATTCTTCAGAACAGTCACCAGGGTACCCTTTATGTGAAGGCTTATGAGCAGGTAAGACCTCTTAAAACGTACAAAGAAAGCTTTTGTTGACATGCACAGAGAGAAGTTAAATACATGCCGAATAAACTTCTGATTTAAATACTGTTGCATCTTCTTGCCCTGAATAAGGAAAGGCTTATTTAGTTCAAAAAAAAGGAATTTCCCAATTTCTTTGTCTCCTATGGTCTATTTATGAACCAGTAATTATTTTTAGCCAAATTGAATTATTTGATAATCCTGAACATAAATTTAGTGACAGGCCACTTCCCAAGACTCTGATTTGAAAAGAAACCAAAACAAATCTGGATCACTCAGTGGATAGCTTTAAAATATGACAGCAACCCATTTTGACCTGAAAATAAAAAGAAACCATCACTGCGTAGCTTGTACTGCCTGAGTCCTGTTGACTGCAGGAAGGCCACCTGGCTTCTTGGCTAAGTCCACCTACTTCTTTCCTTCTATTTCCTGTGAACAGCAAGCTGTCATTGCATGCCACTATAAAACACAGAGTTAGAAGAAGAATCCTGTAATCCCCCTTTACGATGTTTTCACTGGTCTATATCCTTTGTCCTCATCCAGAGCTTTAAGAGTTCACTGATCCTAATAAGAGCTTTGCCTGTCTTGGCTTCCTCAACTTCCCAGCATCCACAGCCTGACACCAGGGTTAATCTCACATGCCTTGTACTCCTGCTGAAGTCAGACACAGATATCTGGGGCATCCTCAGTCTGTGAGTCTTCGTTCCCATGCTCTCTATCTCAACAGGTATCTGAAAAACTTCTGCTAGCATCCCTAGTCCTGTATATAAGAAACAGTCTTCAGTAAAGCCAGCAAACACCTAGACTTGTACTTTCCCTGGGTCTCTGTGTTCTAAGAGGAATCTCACTCCCCTGGGAGAACACCATACTGCTGCAGCTCTCTCAAGCATCTGCTCTTATATCTGCAACTTGCTTCTATCATAGAGTTCAGATAAGGGAAACGCTCTCCCTGCCCATTGTGAAACTTGCCTACTGTTCCCACCGTCTTCAATACAAACTTTCAGGCTTTAATCATGTTAAACTTCTTTGTTTGTTTGTTTGTTTGTTTGTTTTTCGAGACAGGGTTTCTCTGTAGCTTTGGAACCTGTAATGGACCTAAATCTGTAGACCAGGCTGGCCTTGAAGTCACAGAGATCCACCCGCCTCTGCCTCCTGAGTGTGGGGATTAAAGGTGTGCACCACCACCACCACCACTACCACCACCAGGCAACCATGCCAAACTTAGTTACTGTCATCTGCTGACCTCTCACAGACTCCTTAATTTCTCTTTGTATTGTACCACACTTTTCCCTTGTTCAGTTATAATAATTTTATTGAAGTATTTCAATGATTGGTAGATGTTGCTCTATATCCTGCCTTCTTCACCCCTAACCTCCTCTTCTCCAGTGATCATTTCCCATACTCCAACCAACCAGTCATGCTACAACATCCTTTGGCCAGTAATTTCAATTTTTATCTAATCTCAATTTCAAGCATTCCTCTTTTGGATCCCAATCACCTTATTTTCGTAGGTCTATTATCTACATTCTGACAAGCTTGAATCCCACTCCTTTTCACTACCCCAACAGTGCTTGGATAATCAAGAACTTGCCTGACTTGTTTTAGTTATACTGGTCTTGGTATCTGTAAAGTAATAACTTGTGCTCTCCTGATAGTCAAAGAATTTGAACATCTTACATGTTTATTGGGCTATTGTTTTGTATCTTCTATTGTAGATAAATATATCCAAGTCCTTCCCCTAATTTTTTCTTTGTAAATGCCTTATAGAAAACATTTATATAATATATATTATATATGAAAGTTACTTAAACCCAAAGCAACCCAATAACTCGGTAAACTATGTATTTGTTTTCAGTTTCAGATATATATACTTTCTTTATTCCTAATTTTAAAGTGGTGGTAAAATATAGATAGCATAATTTCTCCTTTTTCAGCTGTACTGGAAACTTATGTTACTTTGTCATTTAGTTACAACTTAGTAACCTTTCTGATACATAATTTTGATCATATAGATGTGGCTACAGATATAGGCTTTGCCTGAATGAGTAAGAAAACAAGAGGACTAAAAGCGTCACACCCCAGACTGACTGATTCCCTCCCAGATCATCGTTCTGTACTTCACTGAGTGAGGGTGAGAGCTGGCTCCTTTCATGGGGATAGAACTGGCAGAGAGGAATTGATAGCCTATTTCCTGGGCTCAGTTGGCTAGACTCCTAGCCTAATGGCTGCCCCTGGGTTGAGGAAGAGAAGGGTGGCTATAGATCACTGCTTGTGTGAAGTAAGCAACACTTTCCTCCACAAAGAAATGTCTTCTTTACCCACCTTCACCTCAAACAAGATTTCCAGACCAGCTGGCTTTGTGCCCAGACCTTTCTCATGCAGCAGGAGCCAGAGTGCTCTCCGTTCCGTCCGTCCCTCCCTCCCTCCTTCCCTCCTTCCGTCTCTCTTTCTCTCTCTCCCTCCTCTCTTCTGGTGTGTGGTCTCTGTCTCAGTTCTGTCTGGCAGACAGTATGGAAGACCCAGGTCAGTGGGGTCATCAGAATGCTAAGGGGAAATCTGATTGATGAGCAAGTGTCAGAAGGAATGAATGGGAGTCTTAATTAATGACTTCTGCCCTGTTTCAAAGGAAAGTTCCCTTACACCCAGTCCCCTTTTCTTTGGGGGGAAAAAGAGAAAAAGAAAAATTGGGGTGGGGTGAGGAACTGAGGGTGGAAAGTAGGAAAAAAACACTCCTATAATCCAAACTTTTCTAAATGACGGAAAGGAGACTTCAAAGACAGACACTCTGGCTGTTTTTTTTGTTTTGTTTTGTTTTTATGTGCAAGACTGTTCAGTGACTCTCTCCTCTCTTTGTTTCCATGGACAGCTAGGCTCCATTCCAAAGTTAAAAAATAAAAGGCCACATTGTTCTGAGGGGAGCTAGCTTTTACAAGAATTTTCCTCCTCAGCCCTGGGGCACATTAACTGCCGAGGCACTGGGTTCTCTGGGGGGCGGTTTTTCCAGAGCTAGCCTCTCAGCCATGCTTCCCATCCCTCTCTTCGCATTCCTGAGGAAAAGCATGAAGAAGAAATGGAGTCTGCTGCACAGACAGACCCACACAGACTACCCTGAGCAAACCAATCCGAAGATGTAGTCTGTCAGGTGTACAGCAGAGCGGAGGTGAGGCTGGTAGCATTGGATAGTGTCCAACACAGGTTCACATTCAGCAATCTGAACTAGTATCTCATCATTGAACGTCTGCCATCTCACTGGCACTGGAGCTGGGTGATGCAACAAAAAACATAAAGAGAAAAGATTCAAATTTCATTTCAACAAGCCACTTAGACTCTGATCCTTTGTGCTTAAAAAAAAGATTGAGTATGTGTGTATATGTATGTGTGTTCATGTGTGTGTGTGTGTGTGTGTGTGTGTGTCACACATACACATGTGTTCAAAGAGGCCCTAAGAGGAAGTTGGAACACCTAGAACTGGAGTTACTTGTGGTTATGAGCTACCTGACTTGGATTGGGTACTGAACATGGGTCCTCTGAAGAGCAGCAAGTATCCTTAACTGCTGAGCCATCTCTCCAGCCCTCTATCTATACTATTTGAATCTTCACCAAAAAACATAATACCTGCTTCTGGATCGCCAAGGATTTGGTGAAATGAGTTAGCATAAGAACATTCTTGTGCAACATCTAGCACATAAAAAGGAGCCAGAAAATAGTAGTTTAGAAAGAGAATAATGGGTCATTCTTTCTCTGGAGACCCTCTCTGCCTAGTAAGGAAAATAGATATAAAAATAGAATTCCATTTTAATGTCACAAAAATATATGTGTAAATACTAATATACAAAGTATAACACATATTGAGCATCACAGAGTGAGCTCAAATCAAAATTTGAACACAATGCCCCAAGTGAAAATTTTCACTGTAACTCAGTTTCACACCTAAAACTACTTAGTATATATACATGCATCTGCTCTATGTTTTTTATTTGAATTCCATCCACAAGATACTCGTTATGTATGTGCAGATTTCTCCAAATCTCAAACTTATGAAATCCAAAATGCTTCTGGTCCCAAGTGCTTTGGATAAGGAATAAGCACTCTGTAACCCTTGAGAGAAAACTTCAGCACAAGTGTCACAGAGAAGAAAATGGAATCAGGGTTGGAAGTCAGATGAACAGGCAAAGCAAGATGTGAAGTCAGTCTCAGAGAGATTCCAGGAAGGTACATCAAGGGGCCACCATGAGTGCACCATGAGTGCGTAGAGAGAATCAGTGACAGATGGGAGACACATTAAGATGACAAAAGAAAATGAACTTGACAATGGATTGGACTAAGGGGAGAAGTGGAAGCAGAGGGAGGTGAAGAAGGGGGAGGAGAAAGAGGAGGAGAAAGGAGGAAGAAAGAGCCCAGGATGAACTTGGTGCCAGGAAGCTGGCGGGTGATATTCCAAGTTAATCTCACAGAAAATAAAAGCATTCTCCACTCAGGACAAAAAGTACAACATCAAGTGGACCAGATCTATAAATAAATATCAGTTAGGTAATTTAAAGGCCCATATACAAGTAAATAACTGGAGGGAGAACATGTGGCTGCCCTTGGCGTGGTAGCCTCAATATGGAATAGATGCCATTTCTGTAATTCTGTGAAATCTATGAATAACTGTTGACTCCTTCAGAAGTCAACTCTTGGGAGTCAGTTTTTCCTTCTGCCTTGTTAAGGCAGAGAGTCTCTCTTGATATATCTGCTCTGGTATTCAGGTTATCTGGCCTAGAAGCTCCTAGCTGATTCTTCTGTCTCTATCTCCCATCTCTCTGTTCAAGCACTAGGATTATGAATGAACACTACCGCACCTAGCTGTGATACATGGGTTCCAGGAATCAAACTCAGATCACCACATTTGCATGGAAAAAAGTAGTTTTACACAATGAGATATCTCTCTGGTCCCCTTAAGTATTTTTATGTGAAAACATATATACTTACAAAATTATAGCAGTTTAGGTGAAGTTATTTAATTTTTTGTCACTTTCTTTCTTAGTATTTTGTAATCAGGAAACAACATACTTTAATGGATATTCTGGTATAGTTTATAGCTTCTTGGATAAAGCTCAAGAAACACAATTGCAAAGGAAAATGACACACTTTTACAGTTGTACAAAGTTGCTCTCTGGTTAACAATGCCAACAGCATGATGTCTAATTTTCTTTGCTCTCAGCAACGCTGTATGCCGCCAAACACTTCCTTCTTCTCCTGATAAGTAAAAATGATTTGGTATTACAAATGAGACTTATTGTTTTATACGATAGAAGCATACGTGTTTCATTTATTGTGTGTGTGGATATGCGTGCATGCGTGTGTGTGTATGTGTGTGTGTATGTGTGTATGTGTGTGTGTGTGTTCATGCCTATGTCTGTGTTTGGATCATGACTTATACATGGAGGTCAGTGGATAGCTTGCTAGAATCAGTTCTCTTATATTTTTGGTTGTAAGCCTAACCTTTAATGGCTGAGCCACCTCTCCAGCCTTCGAATCAGTTCTCTACTTCCAATGTATGGATTATGGATATCAAAGTCAGATCATCATGATGGGAATAAGTGCCTTGAACCACTGAGCCATGTTGTCATCCTGAAATGTAGGCTTTTACAAGTGTGCTATATTCTGGTCACCGTACCAAGTATGTTACATATATTAATTATTTTTGCTCCCATAATATTTTGAACACAAGTGTAGCTCTTGGAAACAAAGGTTGTCTAACCATTATGCAATGTGACTTTTTTGATAACACAATGTATTCTATAAATTTAGACACTCAAAATGATGTGTTCTAAAAAGGCATATACTAAAGTCACACAAATGTGTGTGCAAAACCTAATTGTTCATGAAGGGTAAAAAGGAAATATAAAATAAATGTTTAAAGGAGGACAACGGTTTCTCTGGCAAAAGTGGAAGATATGTCTGTCTTCCTCAAGTGTCCCAGATTTCGAAGTTAGCAGGTGCATCAAAAACCATATCATTAATCTTTGGGAGCCCATTCCAAATAGAGGGATTCTCTCTCAGCCTGGACACACAGGGAAGGGCTAGGTCCTGCCCTGGATGAAATGACAGACTTTGGAGATCCCCCCAATGAGGGCCTCACCCTCCCTGGGGAATGATGTGGGGATTGGGTGGGGAGCTGGGGGGGACTGGTGGAGGGACAAGGGAGGAGGGGTGGGAGAGGGAGCTGGGATTGACATGTGAAGCATTCATGTTTCTGATTTAAATAAAAAAATTTAAATATCATCATCGGAGTCTGAATCCTCTGTATTTCTGTCATCGTTACCATCATGCTTGATGTCATGCTCAGCAGCCACTGAGTTGAACGCTATATGGGGAACATGCCCTGCGTCCCCTTTCGCTGTTGCAACAGTTGTCACCTCAACTGATCCTTGGTAGAGCTGGCCGGGGCCCAACACAAAGAACTCACTCTCAACTTCAGATGCCCGGACACCTTCTTCTCCATCAGCGGGAATACAAATATCAGCATCGCTGGCATCATGCCCGACATCACGCTCTGAGCCTCTGCATTGGCCGTTAAACCAGGAGCACGCTCTGTGGCCCTCTTTGCTGCTATGTCAGTTGCCACTTCAACTGATCCCTTGTAGTTTATTTGTGTCTGAATATGGCTCGTTCTTCATTTTCAGTTCATGGACACCTTCTTCTCCATCAGCAGGAAAACAAATATTAGGATGGCAAATAGCCCTTAAATCTCACTTATTTCAGTCGTCGTGTGTAAAAGACTTACTACAGCGGGCTGTCCTGCTATCTCGTTGTCTGATGAGCCACACCCAATTGGTCCCGCCAGTGTAGATCGACCCCTTTTCTAAGAAAAAGAACAACGAGGTCTTCGTTGTCAGATTTAGCAGCACATGTAAGAGTTGTTCTTTGGTACTCATCACAAGAATGAATACTTGTTCCCCGGCGTATCAATAATGCAACTGTTAAAAACTTATTGTTTGTCGAGTGCAAGATTTAGAGGGGTAATTCCATTCTTTGAAGTCTCGTCCATGTTGCCCCCAAATTCCAGGAGAGCGACTGTGATCTCAGGGACATCACTTTTTACAGAGTGACAAAGGGCTGTTTCCCCATTTCCCATTTCTGCACCGCCTTCGTTAAAGGCGTCATCATTTTCTTATCAATGGCATTTACAACATATCCTGATAACAAAAAAAAAAGAACTAGACTGTGACGTCCATTGAAGGATGCAAAGTGGAGAGCCATTTCCATTGAATGATGCAAAGTGAAGAGCCATTCGTATGATTTATGCCAAATTTCTTCTTACTGAGATGCAAAATGGCACTCGTATTCTGTTGACATACAGCTGTGTGGAATTTACTGTGAGGTACATAGTGCTGCCTGTGCCTCTCCTCATGAGTTGGGTGCCTGCCCCTGGGAAGACATTCTCAGATTCCTACATTGACATAGTCCTGAACAGGAAACAATTACTCCTTCATCGTCGAATAGATGAGTAAACTGTGGAGAGCCACTGCATGGAGATGTTTTCCTGGTTGCTGATGTGCCACAGGTTGCAGCCCATGTTCTTGCAGCTGAGGTCGCAATGTGACTTTTTAGCATTATATTCTCCCTTCATTGTTGCATTTCCCCCATATATTTGAGGCACTAGGAGGAAAGTATAAATTAATATTTGATGCAGTAGAGAGACCAATAAAGATAAAATGGGGCTACTAAAAATGAGAAAGTTTCTTCTTTTGTTATTTTTCTTGCTCTGACAAAATACCAGGTAAGAACAACTTAAAGGAGGAAGGATTCATCTTAGCTTGTACTTTCAGTGACTTCAATCCATAGACCTCAGTTTCATTGCATCTAGGCAAGTGGAGAGATAGAACATTGATAGCAAGAACATGTGGCAGAGTAGGCTATTCACTGCATCACAGCAAATTCCACACAGGAAGCAAAGAGAACTTCTGGAACAAGACACAGTACCCATGTATATGCCCACAATTACCTACTTCCACAAGGTAGGCTCCATCTGAAGTTTTCAGTATCTCCCATAATGGTACCATCAGCTGGGAGCCAAGGTTTTTGTTTGTTTTTTCTGTTTTTTTTTCCTTTTTTAATTTAAATTAGAAACAATCTTGTTTTACATACCAATCCCAGTTCCCTCTCCCTCTCCCTCCCCTCCTCCCCTGCCCCTCACCAACCCCATATCCTATTCCTTTTCTGCTCCCCAGGGATGGTGAGGCCTTCCATGGGGAATCTTCAAAGTCTGTCATATCATTTGGATCAGGGCATAGACCTTCCCCCATGTGTCTAGGCTAAGAGAGTATCCCTCTGTGTGGAGTAGGCTCCCAAAGTCCATTTGTGAACTACAGATAAATACTGATCCACTACCAGAGGCCCCATAGATTAACCAGACCTCCAAACTGACATGCTCCTTTAGGGGATCTGGGTCAGTCCTATGCTGGATTCCCAGCTATCAGCCTGGGGTCCATGAGCTCCCCCTTGTTCAAGTCAGCTGTTTCTGTGGGTTTCTCCAGCATGGTCTTGTCTCCTTTGCAACTGGATTCCAGGAGTTCAGCTCAGTGTTTAACTGTGGATGTCTGCTTCTGCTTCCATCAGCCACTGGATGAAGGCTCTAGGATGGCACATAAGGTAGTCATCAATCTCATTATTGGAGAAGGGCATTTAAGGTGGCCTCTCAACTATTGCTTAGATTGTTAGTTTGTGTCATCTTTGTAGATCTCTGGATATTTCCCTAGTGCCAGATTTCTCTTTAAACCTAAAATGAGTAGTACTCCATTTGGGTAAATGTACCACATTTTCTCTATCCATTCTTCAGTTGAGGGACATCTAGGTTGCTTCCAGGTTCTGGCTATTACAAATAATGCTGCTATGAACATGGTTGAACAGAATGTACAACTTTTGGGTATATACCTAACAGTGGAATTGCTGGATCTTGTGGTAGACTGATTCCCATTTTCCTGAGGAACCTGCCATACTGATTTCCAAAGTGGTTGTATGAGTTTGCACTTGTAAGCATTTTGACATATCTAATGAGATGGACGAGGATGGATTATGGCACTCGGGAGCCAAAGAATACTCAGTGTTAGAGCTTGGATGGAGAGGTATTCTGGCAATCAGGAGCCAAGATATACTACAGGTCACCATAGGGCCTAGCAGCTTACAGTCATGCTTCAGGAAGAGGCTTCCCCAGTGTATCAGCTCTGCTCCAGCATTTTCCCAGACGAAGTTGTTACAGTTCAGCTCCAGTCCCCCAGAGAGCCCAGTGTAAAAACTTCCCTTAGCCAGAGGAAGGTTTCCTTGGGCAAAAAGTGTTACAGCCCTGATCCTCCTCTGCTCTGGGTCGTCTCTGCTCTGGCAAAAAAAAAAAAAAAAAAAAAAAAAAAGGTCTCACCCAAATCTCATTCAAGAGATTTACTGGGAGGGAAGAATCCAGGAGTGGCTGCCCTCTGCCAGGGTGGCAGAGAACAGCTGAGCAGCTGAACAACCACAAGCTGAACAGACACAGGGTTTATATAGGGATTCTTAGGGGGTAGAGTTTTTTCAGGGTGGGGGTTGGTCAGATTTCAATCCCTGAGTTTAGGATGGCTAGATCTCCTGCTCAGGGGTTGGTTAGTTGTCTGCACAGGGTTACGGTCAGATTTGCTCTGGTTTCAGGGCAAAGTGTATTTCTTTCACTGGTTCTTTTTAGTCTTTTAGCTCTAGTTTTAGTGCCAGTGTATTTCTTTCACTGGCTCTGGTTCCAGGAACAAGGCATGTTTCTTTGGCTCTGCTCAAGGTGTATTTCTTTGTCTGGACCCTTTTCCCTATGGCACTCCCACAAGCAATGGAGGAGTGTTCCCCTTTCTCCACATCCTCTGTAGCATAAACTGTCATTGGTGTTTTGGGAGGCGAGTTTTAAACCCATGAGCATATAGGGAGCATTTCCTATTCAAAGCACAACCTTCTCCTGAACCCCCAGAGGCTCATGGCCATCTCACAATACAAAACAGGTTTAGTACATCTCCAAAAGCTCCCAAAGCCCTAACTGTTCAAGTCTAAGTTCAAGGTTTACTGAGACTCAAAGCTGTCTCTTAGCTGTGGATCTCCATAAAATAAAAGGCAAAGTTGTATTGATAAAATGGCATAAATTATCTCCACTACTAAACAGTGGAATGAGAAAAGACCAGGAAAGAATCTGAAAAAATCTCATAAAGTCAAGAGCCCAGCAGGAAAAATACCAAATCTAATAGTTCCTCCTCTTATATCTAAAGCATGTAATAGCAAGATGTTAGCACCAATGGATTTGCACAACCCTGACACTCTGGTTCTGGACTGGCTCCATTCGTTGCCTGTAGCTTCCTTTGGCAGACATTACATGTTCCTAGCATCTTGAGCATCCTGGAGCTTCCACAGCATCTCTTTCTTCACCATAACAGTTTCTACATTGCCTTCTCAAGAACAACCTGCAGGGGACTCTTAATCGGTTATGCATTGCCTAACCTTCCCAATACTCAGTTGAAATCTGGGTGGAAGGCATGCATCACATACAGAAGTCAAGGTCCCCCACAATCTTAAGAAATAACAGAACCAACTTATAACATGTCTGTGTGGTCTGTAAGGGCTTGGAGAGCTGAACCAGGTGAAAATAATCCTGGAAACACTTTTCAGGTATTTTTTCTCATGATAAAACCTTCAAATGTGTTTACTCTTTATATACTTGAGCCTCCAACGGGTAGAGTCTGACCAATTCTTCAGATGCTCTGAAGGTATCTCTTATATCATCCCATGGAAAAATAGTTGGCTTGTTTTAGTGGTACTAATATATTTAACAATCATGCCCTTAAACTGGGCATGGTGGCACACACCTTTAATCCTAGCACTAAGGAGGCAGAAGCAGGAAGATCTTTGTGAGTTTGAAGCCAGCCTGATCTATATAGTGAATTCCAGGACAGCCAGGATTACACAAAAAGATCTTGTCTTAAAAAAATAAGTAAAGACAAAAAGGTTGTCTATGGGGATGGAAAGACAGTTCAGCAATTAAGAGCACTGAATGCTCTTCCAGAGGAGCTGGATTCAACTCCTGGCACTCACATTGCATCTCACAATCATCTGTGAGTCTAGTACTAGGGGAATTCAAGGTCTCTTCTGGAATTTGCAGGTTCTTGAATGTACATGGCACATATACATACACTCAGGCAATATGCATACACATAAAATAAGTCAACAACTTTAATGCATTCCATTTCTGGCCAAATCTTTACACTCTGCTTTTCCCACCTAACTTTCACTGTAAGCCTAGCTAAATGCAGGAAGCAACAACCATGACACAGTCTAAATACTGTACTGTACCGTACTGACGTTTCCTCCACCAAATTAGTTCTTTACTTTTAAATTCAGTCTCAGTCAATTCAAAGTCTCAGGATTGGATAAAATGTAGACAAATTATCAGGATGTCCTATAGTTCAAGTACTAAGATAAAACCATTGACTATCTTCTTATAGTCAGTCTGGTCTTTGGAACTCCCACCAAAATGATCAACAAGTTACATGCCTCTCCATATTTTCCCAAATTCTTCACACAAAACAGTTACAAGTACTTCTGAAGCATAACATCAGGGAGGGTCACAGTAACAACCCTACTTCCCTGATACTAATTTTCTGTATTAGCTCTTTTTTTATAAGTATAATCAAAACACCCAAGAAAACAATATAGAAGAGGAAGATTTCTTTTGGTTTGTGGTTTAAAGGGATTCAATTCAAGATCACTTTGCCCTTTTCTCTTTGGTACAACATTATCTTAGGATAATAAAGTGGAGTTAATTCTTCATCTTTACTTCATGGAAGCTAGAGAACACTGAGAGGAAACACAAAAATGCTCAGAACAAGGAGCAACTTCTGCTGGAGCCATGCTACATGCTTGGATTTACAGCAGGACCGGCACCAGGGGATTGATTGCTGTGCTGTAAGTGCCGCTGTAGGGGATGTGAGGGGAGCACGGATGAGCACGGAAGCCACAGCATGGACACAGTGTCCTATGATGATGTGCACATCGACTTCACTCAGGAAGAGTGGGCTTTGCTGAATCCTTCCCAGAAAAGTCTCTACAAGGGTGTGATGCTAGACACCTACAGGAACCTCTCTGTCATAGGCTACAGTTGGGATGACCATAATTTTGATGAACACTGTGAAAGTTCTAGAAGAAATAGAAGGAATGAGCCAAGCCATACAGGAGAGAAACCCTGTACACAGAACCAATGTCACTGCACAGGAGACTCAAGCAGATCCCTCCCATCTGACTGATGGGTCCACTAGAGGCTCTGATTGGCTGGTGAGACCTGAGTGACAGGACCAGAGCCTTCATCCAGTGGCTGAGGGAAGCAGAAGCAGACAATAACCACAGCTAAGCACTGAGCTGAACTCCTGGAATCCAGTTGCAGAGAGGGAGGAGTGATGAGCAAAGGGGTCAAGACTGGGCTGGAGAAACCCACAGAGACAGCTAACCTGACCAAGTGAGACCTCATGGACCCCAAACTGATACCTGGGGAACCAGCATAAGACAGAACCAGACCCCCTGGACATAGGTTTCCCGTCATCAGAGAACCTCATCCTTGAATCATCTGTAACCAGACTTCATGGTTACCAGGATTGCCATGGGCTAAGCTGAGCAATAGTTGGTGATGGATCTGTTGTCTATGGAACAAGGCATGTTTGAACTTGGCATAAAGCCAGAATGCCTACCACCACTGCCACCATTCCCAAGACCACCATTGATGTAGTGCCTCTCCATCACCATACCCATCCCCCGATCTGGGCCATAACATTCTACCAGCCTTCCTCTGTTACAAGGGTAACCCGCATGTAATTTACAGTTACAATTTGATGGTCAAAACAGTGATAAAGTTTACAATCGTTCCAAGATCCACTCAGGAAAGCTTTTAGAAGGCACACTTTCACAGATGCATTAGATATACTCATTGATGTTACACATATAGCATGATGAAATGTGAACAAGAGGCTTGTTGCACTATCCACAGAGCACCAATTTGTTCCTGTAGTGATGCAGGTTGTTGATTTAACGTCAGGAGCCTCAGCTGAATATGCTAATTGAGCGCACTCTGGGTGGACAGCACTTTGCTAACTCTACCAACAAGGCTGCTCACAGTCTCTTCTTTGGCAGAAAGTTGGGTAACGGCAGTTCTGGCCATGGCAGCCGCAGTGGCCGATATAGTGATGGCTTCAACAACAGTGGCCGTGATGCCAAAGTCTCCTTTTTGCCGCATTAGGACAAGTTGCATTTCTCCAGAAAAGCACACTGGCATAGGCGCGATTCAAGAATCAGGAACCACCAAGGCTGATATTTCAAGTGGCTGTGTCCTGTTCAAATACTGAAAAGGGGCTTTTGCTACTCATCATGGTCCATACCAGTGTCCAATTGTTTTAAATGGGTCCTTTTTTCCCCAAAGGGAAAAACTGGCAAAATGAATTCTGTTGTCAAAAGCAGACTGTTAATCTTCTAGTTCTCTGTTGGCTTTGGGATGAAAACTCATGGGTCCAGGAGGTTGATGCAGCAGGCCTGTTGAGAAACTGGAAATCTCGAACCAACTGTTTTCTTTCCTTCTCAGACTATAGATTCGATGACATTAAGGGTCAGGAACACTGATTTAAGAGATCTCACTCAAACTGGCTTAGGCAGTCTCCCATGGTCGCAGGTCCAGTTTTTCTCTGCTCCATGCATCTCACCAAATGTTCTGACAGCTGCCAAACTTTATTCTTTTCCTGCAACCAAACACAAACACGCCCTCGACCCCAAATTAGGGCATAATCGGGTCTTCTCCATGGTCTAGTGCATGGATGTCTCCATTTGACCTGAGCAAAAGTCACTCAAGTTCCATCATGCCAGAATCTGTCTGAAGCAGATTGTTCACTAGCATTCACATTTTAAAATTTTTTAAATGTGGAGTGTATGATTTAATGAGTCATGTGGGGACTGGGGACACTACTCCCCCTTTTTATTTTTTTAAAATTTTGTTTAAACTGTTTGCTAACACCTGTTGATGCTGGACTATAACAGTAGAAGGATTTGTCTATCCTCCTTAGTTAACTATCTAGGTGAATTGGGATCTCTATCTAAATTACTAGTAGATGCCCTTTAAAAAGGACATAACCATTAAGTATTTCCCAAAAGCTTTTGAGAATCATTCAAGGATTGTAAACTATGCTATGTCCCAAATAACTTTTGAAAATTTAAAAAAAAAGAAGCAACTTCCTCTGAAACACCCTGGTTGCCTAGGTCCTCCATCTTGGTTCCTTCCACCTTTTGAAATTTCCAGAGCCTATAAAATTAATATCACCAGTTGGTGACCAAGAACTCAATGCATGAACCTATGAGGGACATTTCATATTCAAACTATAACACTTCCTCTTCATGCTCTGTCAAAAAGTGGTAAGAGAAATTGAAGACATTAGGTTAGGGGAGATAACCTGTTCTACCTTTTCCCCATAGTGAGTAATTAGAATCTGACTAATCCACACATACTTTGAAACTCCTTGGGTAATACTTATCTAACAATCAATTTGATGTACCTATAGGATAAAGAGATCATTTTAAGCCATACCAAAGAGATTTAAGCAGCAAAACCTGAATTATACCAAAATGGTCCTAATTATTTCTTTAAAAAATACTAGACACACATATGAAGTTGGTGTCCATTATCCTCTTGAATAAATTTGACAGTCGGTGACTTGAAAGGGGAAATTCGTAAGAAGAGCAGATGCTCTTAATTTTGATAAAGCCTGATTTATTGTTTTCTATTATAAGTATTGCTTTTTGCTTCCGAACTTTTTGCCAATCTTTGGGTAAGATTATTCTCTATGTTTTCTTCCAGAAGCTTTATTTTAGTAGTTTATGTCATTGCTGTGCTGTTCACAGAGCCAGAAAACAGAGTCACCCTAGTTGACTGTCATCTGATGAATCCAATGAATAATGGAAATATGATACCAAATACACAATGGATTTTTATTAGCCTATAAAAGATACATTCTTAGGTAAGTGAATGGAACCAAAAAAAAAAAAAGAATTATACCCAGTAGGGTAACCTAGCCTACAAAGACAGATGTTACATGTTCTCTCTCTTAGGGCTATTCTAGCTGTGAATTTTTAGTGTTTTTAACTTGGAGTGCAAAAAGACCAAGACAGTGAAGGGCCACTAGAGGTAATAGACAAAGAAAGACCTAAGGCAGAGGGAATAGTAGAACTCGGGTGATGTGAAAGCGGAAAGTGAATAATGTAGACAGAAATGTGTCAGTGATAGGGGAGATGAGATATAGGAAAGAAGGGAGAGTGGGAGGAGAGATAGCCAGCATAAGGATATATGAAAATGCCATATGGAAACCTATCTTACAAGACTATTTAAAAATACATTTAAGTACTAAAAAAGCAGTGCCCTAAACAAGAGAATAATGCTTTTTCCAGAATCCATACACTACTGAGCAAAGATATCAATGCCAGCTATGGGATACCTCTCTATAGGCTGTCAGCTGGGAAGGCTGTAGAGACTCCCAAAACAATACATGCAATTGCCACTATCCCTGACCCCACTTCTGGGCAACAAAGCCCCGTTCCCACACTGAGTCAAAGGCAAGTTTTTTGGACGTTGTCCCATGGATGTTAATTTGACTTATTCTAAGGACCCTCAAAACACCTTTCCAGTTAACTCCAAATGAGAACAGAGCAAATGTTTTGACACACACTGGTGAAACTCTAGGGCTTGGAACTCTATTTCACTTGCCCAGTCTATCAACCATCCTTGAGACACTCTCCCTGTGGATCATGCTCTGTTTTCCTAGTGAGGGTCAGAGGGCCCAGGCAAGCGCTTTTACATTGTCTCATCCGCCTGGAGACCTAGTCTGCTCCCACCAACACATGCTGCTTGCTACCGGTATTAATAACACGAGCAGCAGGAGGCTAAACACCAGAATGGGGGCTGCCTGGATAATTATCCAATAGTCTAGGAACAGTCAGTAAATTACTCCTTGACCTGGGAATTCAGCAGGTTACCAGCTTCACTCTGGCCCGCTCACTTTATTGCTCTCCCCTCCTGCAGCACTGATATTCATTTGTCTGGTTTGCATTCAGTTCATTGCTCTTAGGACGTCTTTTTTAATGTCTGAGAGGTGAGCGGTAGCCCCTTTGGGGAGTCTGCTAGTCAGGCCAATGGGGTGGCTGTAGGAAAACAGGGAAGAGAAACATTTATTTGATGAAATCATTCAGTGCCCCCAGGCATGCTGTCACTTGTTTTCTCTGGCTCCTTTAACCACATTTCAATCTTTTTTTCCACTACCATGACTCTCTACTGACATGCCCGTTCATGTAACCTGGAATACTGTGAAAGGGAAAGAGAGAGAAAATTCTCAGTTCACTCCCAACTCACCCACTCCACTCTACCTATTCCAAAATGAGAGCAGGGCATGCAAATTTGTTTTCTCGAGTGCTATGCCCTTTCTCTAACTCTTTCCTTGACCTCCCCTTTCCCACACTCCTTTTCATATTTCAGACCTCTGCTTACATAGCACACTCCTCAAGAACCCTCTACCAACCCTTGCAGAGCATAGTCAGGTTCTCGTCCCTCCTGGTCGACCACAGAAGCCATTCCACATTACCTGCTAATCCCACTCTGTTCCAGTACCTCTCCTCCTCCCTGATCTGCCCTTCACATTGTCAGTCTGATAGAAACAAGAAGAAGCCACAGCCTTCCAGGCCTTCACTTAAAGGGGCCAATGGAAACTAAGGAACAGACAAGGAAAGACATCTCCAAGTTCTACCTCCTAGGCAAGCCTGATTTCCAGTTTGACCTCAGCTGAAACACACCAGCACCATTGGAGAAACCTGCCGTGTCTGAAAGTTCCAGAACAAAGGACTCCATTCCCGTTTCCTGGAATTACCAGTTACATCTCTCCCCCTTTTCAACTCACCAATTTCTATAAATGCATCTCAAGATGATCCTGTAATTCTCAGTTAATATTCACACCAATCTATCATTTATCCTCATGAAAGGAGTCCATGAAAAGTTTCTGATTCTGCAATTTGGAGCACAGTCCAGGTGACAACAGTTACCACTTCGCTGTAAACACTTCTCTGAAAAATGGGCTATCAAGAAGATAGTTGATGAGGATAATTTCTTTGCTTTTCCCCATGAAGTTACAGCAAGGGAGGTCATACTCTTGCCCCTGATAACTCATTACCTGTCCCATTTCACTACTGACTGCAGTCTGGTCTAGATTCCTCCCTACACAGAAGCTGT